ATGTTCCTTATAGAGAGACTCAAATATATGAACAAATTTAAAAATTCTCTGTGCCCACGGTTGCCACATATGGTCCTTTAGTACCAAAATTGGTGCTTCCCTCCGTATGGTACTCTGGTACTGGTTTATAGAAAATGGTACTTTCCTGAAGCGCGACCTTTACTGTAAATGCTGTTATAATATCCAATTAAACTTATTTATAGATGCAACTGTGCACTATGAGACTAATGTAATTTTATGTATTAATTTAGTAAAAATATTGAGGCTGCAAAAAGTAAAAGAAAAATTCGATCGGAATAAATTTTAAGACCTCATATAATATGCAAGGAAATATTTGATAAAAAAGATATGCACTATGTATAGTCAGCAAAAGATAGTCCGACTATTTAAATAATAAAATTGTTATGGATAAAAAAACTGTTCTATATCTTCTGTACATTTTATATATATTGTATTTTCTTATTAAAAGATAATAGAAAAAATGGACCTTTTCTTACAGAAATGGTACTTTTATGAACCAATTTTGGTATAAAAAAATTGTTAAATGGTAACCGTGGTTTTATCCTCCACAAAACTTCGTTATAGAGAGGAATTCGTTAAAGGGATGTTCGCTATAGAGAGGTTTGACTGTATATAATTTTATGATGCTAATGTAGAGTATTCTCAATACTCTATTTTTGTTTGGCAAAATTAAAGTTTAGGCAAAATTAATGGTAATTCACTTACTCAGCAGTAGAGCCTCCATAATCTTTCACAATTAAATAGGATGATCTATCGCTTTGCGCTGAAGTTATCGCTAATATGTAACACCATTAATGTTTTCGTGGCTCCAACGCAATACCTGCCATGTTGAACTATCGCGTAGTTTTCGTAATGATCAAATTAATTAGTGTTGTGGAGTTGTTTTCACAACTATTGTTTAGAGATCATCACATTTGTAGGACATATGGTAGGCACATGTAGATAAAGATTTTGATATGACTTTTAATAGACTCAAAATGCTACTTTTTTTTTTTTTTAATTTTATTTTCTTATATTGCGATCTGTCAATTCAGAGTAGACAATAAACAATATTTAAAAGTGACTAAATACTTAAAAGTCCATGTTGAGCTTGAATGGACTTAGCTCAGTAGCACATCCGTCTGTTGAAGTCGGACACATTAAAGTTTCAATGGCGTTTGTTTACGGAGGCGTGTGAACGTTCTTCCTTCTGCTATAATTCTGCTCATAAAGTGGTTGGGATGATGTAACACACGTTTTTTGTGTTTACTGGCTTGGCTTTTTATGACATCCTTAACTACCGGAACGTTGAGATCGCGATGTATACATTCATTTGTTATATATCTAAGAGCATCTAAGATTAATCTAAGGGTTTTTGATTGAAAACGTTGGATAATCTCAATATTTGAAAATGCAGCAGTTCCCCAGAGTTCAATGCCATATGTCCAGATTGGTTTGAGTATCGCTTTGTAGATAAGAAGTTTATTTTCCACGGAAAGCTTTGAACTTTTGTTCAGTATCCAGTAGAGCTCCCGCAGTCTGATGCCAAGTGCTTTTCTTTTGGTAAAAATATGGTGCTTCCAAGCTAGTTTTGTGTCAAAGTGTATTCCTCAATATTTCACTTGGGTAGATTGAGGGATTAAAATATCGTTAAGGCGTACCGGTGGGCAATTTTTCCTTCTCATTGTAAAGGTTATTTGTGAAGATTTAGTCTCATTTGCTTTTATTCTCCAGGTTTTAAGCCACTGGGAAATGTTATCTACCGATCGCTGGAGTTTGTTGGATGCTAACTGGTGATTTTCGTCTGTAGCAATTACCACAGTATCATCGGAAAAAGTTCCAATCTCAGTACCAACGGTGGTAGGCAAGTCGTTAGTGAAGAGTAAGTATAACACAGGTCCCAAGACACTGCCTTGTGGCAGTGTGGACTGCTACTAAATTTCATATTTATAGTGATATGCAGATCTTATGTTAGGGTTAATGGGTCAGCACCTTTATAATAAAAATTTAATTTATCTTTATATTACTCAAAGACTTCTTTATAAAAAATTTAGATTTGGATGCTTAGGACACAGTACCGCACTGCTTTCACATATCAGAACGCTACATGAGTACATGAAATAACTTATATAAAGTAGAATAGAGCACATTCTTAGTTTTGACTATGAATAGTCGGCTCAATATGAACTCTTAAATAATGGAAGCTACTTATACTTAAAGTTTAGAGAGGCTAGAGTGATAAAGAGTAATTTACTGATTAATTAAGCAGACATCATCTGAGGGAATTGTAGATCATTGAGTCATATAAATGGAATTTTTGCTTCCCCTCTATTAATAGCTTTATTTCCTCCATTGCCAGTATAAATATAACAAAAAAATTATATACAATCTTACACTTGGTTTTATTTTGTACTAGAATTGCTTCACTTAACACTCCACATTTAGTCTAGATATGTATGAATATAATAAAGTTTCTGTTTTCTAAAGAACATACAACGATTTAGGAAAGATGGTGGAAAAGAAACGTATTCTATATGTAAAGACGAATAAATGTATGTAGGTTGGTACACAAAAGTTGATATTTTATTCCAATATTATTTTCACATAAGACTGTGGTAAAAATCCTCTATATTTAAAGTCGATGGAAAGTGTATATGTTGGTGTACAAAGTTGTCACTTTGTTCCAATATTATTTTCACACAAGAGTGTCCAACTGTAAACCCAAGCTGGTTCGTTTGGCTCTCTGTTTGTTTAAACTCTATTATATAATCTACAATCAATCTAAAAAAGCTGACAAAAATCTTTCTGACTATGAGCACAAGTATTGTACATCAATAATTATTGCTTTCTGGTTAACTGGGTTTCTTAAAGGTTTTAATAAAACGCCATATCTCAAATAAAACTTTCTGTTTCTGTTGGCATGATCATACCGATTCCATACAAATAATACCACCATTGTCATAATATTGAAGGGTAGTTGCACCAGTTCTTATAACTGGTGAATCGTACTTTTATTATTTATACTTTATGAGTGGGTACTACTCATTTGCGGCCCTGATGACTTTTTTACGCCTTCTTAAGCAGCCGAGTTTACAGCTGCTGTTGCCATCTCATCCAAATATTTTTTCTGATTATGTCTCTGATGCTGTTTTGTATTTATTGTTAACATTACATCCGAAAACGTCTTTTAAGTCTGTTTACAGTAATTTAATAGCGCAGTCTTTAATTTTTTCTACTTAATCCCAAGCTTCTGGTACTATCGATGATTTACGCTCTTCACGAGTTAAACCGGCAATTTCTTTGTTGGAGTTCTAATATTTATGCGATATTAATGTTACTTGATATAAATAATTTATAATAACTTTTTTTTTATGTATCAATGAGTAGTGTCGATTTTGTTTTAAACTGATGTATAACTTAGAGCTCCCTTTTAAGTAAGGTTGAAGTGCCCAACGCTTACTCGAGCCCAAATAATGGCTCATGGTAATATCACTCTCTGGTGCAAACCACGGTGTGATACAAACCGTGGCTTGTGTGTGGAGAGTATTTATATATATAATACTCTATTTATATAGAGTATTTATATATATTTACTAAATTTCTCTCTGTTTCCAAGAAAACGAAGTTAAGTTATTGTTATATATATAAATAATATATATATTTAAAGTATTGTAACTTGTAGTACATATTACACAGAGTAAGTTACATTACACAAAATGTTAAGTTTGTAAGTTTTTGTTAGTTTATAATAAATTTAGTGTGTACTCGTAATACAACTCAAATCAGTGTGTTTCACTTTGGTAAAGACAGACTGTAGTACACTGCCACCAAAGAGATTTACTCCGCTTGAACTAATCTATATATTTATTGATTTCTTCGGTCATATTTGAGTAGCGCATTGCTGCGAAGTCTTGTAATGATCTCTCGTAATAATAATTTTTAAATTTTTTTAAGAAATAATAATTTTATTGGTTCAGTATTGCTATTGTATATTACCGTAGGGCATTAAACAGTCGGGGTGAATTGCACATAATTGCGAAACACAATTATTTGTTGTTGCCGAGCATTTCGAGCATTTCGAGCAGTTAGACAGTGTTTGTTTTGTAAACAAATTGAATTTCATGCTGGAAAATGTAAAAAAAATGGAATTTTCGTTCTCTTTGTTTCCAAATTATTGTCAAGTCGTTTCGAATAGGCGCGATCATCTATCAATGCGCCTCCAGTGGGATAATTTAAAGATGCTTTGGACAATTTGTATGCCACAACCACATTCTTGCGTATCAGTTTTGTTTTCAAATTTGAGATTTTATTAGATTTTTTTGCTGTACGTGTGCCTCGGCGGTGAATCGACAAATTCAATTGCTGAGACATGCGCTAACAATCCACATAAGAACAGGAGCACGATCGGCAGTGGCACCAGCCCAACAAATTCAAGAAAAAAAACACGATTAAAAAGTTGTGAGGCCCGTGTTTGTGCTCTTCTATTCGGCGGCATAAGCAAAATTTTATGGATTTCGAAAAGACGAGCCAGAACTGTTTGCAGACGCGAAAAGCCTCTCGACGGCCACGGTTGCAGAATGCAGCGGCGAACAATGAGCGATGAATAGTGAGCATTGCGCAATGAGCAGTGAGCATTTAGTTAATTGATTCGTGTTGAAAGACAGTGAAATATTGAAGAAAAGTGCAAATCGAAAGCAGAATAGTGCGTTAATTGGTTTACTCGGTTCTATTTGGTGATCCTCTGTTGTGCTAAATAATAAATCTTGAGCAAAAATATAAGAACATAGACGTCTTAGAAGCTAACGTATGCGACTACATGTTGGGAAAGGCCACTGGTGAACACAATCGGGAAACGCAGCGTGGCGCTTTTGAACATTACGAAAACGGATTCCCTCCCAAACTCTTCGCTTTCCTTGCCATCTTTGATTGTGATTTGTATAGAATTTTGTTTACATTTGTTGTATTGATGTTTTTTTGATTTGTTCTGAAAAAGTGAAAAGTGAAAATGTGTTTTGAAAAAGCTTTGTATTGACTTTTGCGAAATAATTTTGAAATGAATGTGCTTCCATAACATGTTTTAAACATTTGAATTCAATTTGCAATCTATCTAGCTAACATGAGAATTATAATAAACAATTCGAGACTTAGCATATGAAGAAAATTTAATTAGTAGTGCTGAAAAATGGGTCTCATCATATATTGTGATAAACTTAGTACAACCTATTTCCCGCCGAATTTGCAAACCGATATTTGCAGTATTAGCGCCATTAAATGGAAGCTCCTTCTTTTTGCCAGTGCAATTTTAGTTATAACTGGGATGTACTTATTGTTCCAATGGAAATATCGGTAAGTAATATATACATATATCAATGTTACAATTATCATCATATTAATATTAACGAACTCAAGGCTAGTCTTAGCTTATAAAGTATTTTGTCTAAGCTATTTGAATTCTTAATAATCTTCTTAAAGTCACGCTTTACTTTGTTCACTATTCTTCCTACACAAACTTTGTTTTGTTGTATGAGTTTAGACTATATTATATCCAGTTTATATATAATAATATATTTAAATGATCTCTTTGTCTATTAGCAGATTATATTATTCTGCTATTCTGCAGTAGCATTTTGCTATTATATTCATTATTTTGCTATTTATTTCATAAAACAGGTATGCTAACAAGATTTAAGTCTTACCATATACCAAGTTTTTATTAGCTATATTTGGAATTGTGGAAGATATAAAAATATTTTTTTTGAATAAAGATTCGTTTCCTAAGAAATAGGTTTTTTTTTTAATGCGGTCTTTTTTTTGATTCAAGTATCGCGAAAATGTCACAAAAGCCTGTTCAATGTTCGGAGTTTAGAACGTACATTCAATTTTAGATATAATATTTACAACTGTAGAGTAGACTGTAGATTAGTTTTAGAAATTATCACCTAACATTGAAATATATCCATATTGAATATTGTAAATATACCAAGATCTAAATGGAAACCATGGATATGTTACGTGCAAATTTTAGTTTTTTGTTTAAAATACAAACTCTTCAGACTAGTTGATCGATAGTAAAAATCTGGACTATGTACATAAATATTGTAAAGAAAGTATAATTTTTCATATATGCTTCGTCTTCCATCTGGCTAACACATATATAGAACGCTATCCTAGAATATATGTGGGACGTCAACAAATAATAACTACGAAAAAATCAACTGTAAGATAAATTATGATGTATAAATATAAATATGTATTAATTTGTATAATACAACATTAGAAGAGTGCATAATATGAAGTTAAATTATATGTAAAATAAACAGAGTCAATAAAATTCAAGACAAACGTGTTACCGATAATTATATTACAATATTTCATATAATTTACACTTTCGGTAGTGCTTTTATAATATATTAAATTTTGTGAACGCATTCAATAAACAAATTTGTATTTTTTAACTCATACAAAGTAGTGACGATATCTCAACGTATATTTATATAGTCGTATGACTATAAATTCAGTCTTTAAACTGACTGTATTGAAATAATAAAAAGAAAATAATAATAATTATTCAGTGAATTTGTTGCAAAGCCCCGCCTAATACAATTCAAATAACTTAATAATCTATATGGAGGTAGACCAATACAGAGCTGTTACGTATTACTAGTTTGTTTACATAGTGATAATAGCTCAGAACCATATGTATGAAGAACCATCTGAGCTGCGAGTCATACATATAAAACACATAACATACATATAACTGCCTTATAACCGTCGAATAATTATGTCTAAACCAACTTTTGCTTTTTTTGGTATATTAGCTTATAAGATAACACTGAGCTTTGATTGCAGATATTTTCGACAACTCATCCAAAGTCAGCGAAACTGGAGAAAATAAACCATCAATCAATAGAGTTTAAAAATGTGTGATGTACACTTTGTATGTTAATTATAAATTAAATAAATTATATATTTAAATTATGTTCAGATTTAAAATTAAAATTAAATCAAATATACCAAGAGCTAAGAGAAAAATAATAGGTGTAGTAAAAAGAAATCCATTATTTTTACATCAAATTGAAGACTTACCATATTTACCATAGTTAGAATCGTCTGATTTAGGTCGATAACTTCTTGCCATTTTGAAGGTAATTTTATTATGTCTCTCTCATAGAAGTCCACGTCCCTATAGGCAATAAATTGATGATTTTCACAAGCTTCTCTTGAAGCGAATTTTTCACCAGAAAAATCGTTTGCCATGGACAAGAACAAGAACAGATGGCAATCACTTGGTGCGAGGTCTAGATCATAAGGTAGGTGCATAAGAACTGTCAAAGGTCAAAATTTCTAACAGAGAATTGTGATGCTTTAACCAGTGGTGCACTTAGGCATGACACCTAAGAAATCCTCAAAAAAATGGTGTGCATATTATTTAAATTAGATTTAACCGGTAAATAAAAAACTCGTTAACTCTCATATAATTAGTCGAATCAGGTTAAAATGACACCTGAAAAAAAACTTTTTCATATTGAATCTTTTTTCGATTTTCTTTTGTTAAAAATATGTGTTTTCCATGTTAGACGTCCATCCAAATGCATGCTTAGATATTTTGCGCTGTCTGATTGCGGAAGTATTATATTATTAAGTTTAATTTTGGAGCAGGTGTCTCTTCTCATTGTAAATGTGACATGAGTAGATTTTTTTATTGCTGTCATGCGCCAATGCTTCAACTATTTTTTATATATTATCAAGACCAGCTTGTGGTTTAAAAGAAGCTGCCGATGGATCGCCTGTACACGCCAGGATAGCTGTGTCATCTGCAAATGTACCAGTTAGAGTTCCTGCCGTCTTCGGTAAATAGTATGTGAAGAGCAAATAAATTATTGGACCGAGTACACTGTCTTGCAGTACTCCAGCTTTAATATCATATGAAGAAGACATTTCATTTTCGTTGTTGACATAAAAGAGTCTTTTCAATAGATACGTTTTCGTGAATGTTAGGTGGCATAAGCTTCTTAGATTTAAAAAGAAGTGCTTGATGCCTTACGCGATCAAATGGTTGAGATATGTCCACAAACGATGCTCTTTTCGCTCGAAAGTGGTCTGTATTTTTTCAAAAATTCTGTAAATTGCGCAATAGACGAATCTTTTTTTCTGAATCTAAACTGGTGATACGGAATTATTCGTTTCGACTCAATTATTTATGTAAGATATTTTAGGAATAGTATCTCGAGCATTTTGAAAGAATGGGAAGGAGACTTACTAAACGATAAGATTTAACGTCTTCAACTGGTTTTCCATTTGGTGAATTTCTTCTAAGAAATTGGAAACATTGACATCTATGGGATATCTGGATCGCTATCCATATCATGTAGAGTAAAAATGGTCTTTAGATAGCTTGCGAAAAGTTGAATTTTATCATATGGTTTTTTCGCCCAAGTATTGTCTGGTATTTTAAGATGGAGTCGATAATCTATTGTATTATTTACTTTTTTGTTTTCTTTAAAAACTTTAAGTTTCAAAAGTCTTACTGCCTTGTATAATTCACGTTCCTTTGTTGTGATTATATTTTTTGCATTGTAATCACTATCAGTTATAAATTTTATGGGCTATATGTGGCAGATATAAGAATCTGTCCGACTGAGTCTTCGATCATAATATTTGTGGCTTGGATTTCGTTAGTGCTATAGTGAGAACATTCATAATGTTTAACTGTTTTTGGAATTTAAGTGTTTAAAATTAAAAAAGTTTTTAGGTTCATAAGCTTATCAATTTTTATAGCTCTCTCCCGGTATTTGGCAAATTGTTTCGAAACTTATAATTTCATCACTTTTCGGTGTAATATCTTAGTATTTAAATATATATCACTTAAATTGCCACATATAATAACGGGTTGATTTAGAAAATTAAAGACTTATTTGTTCCACTCTTATGTCTGTTTCATATAACAGGAGAGCACAAATCCATTGTTTAAATTTTGTTAGATTAAACTCTCTTCATTTTATGCTATCTTTCAGATGATGTTTAACAATATTAATACTAAATATACAGCAGCTTGTCATAGCGTTCTTATACATTTGTATGAATCGACAAAGGGTTAAGAGGTTTCAACAAATTCAGAATCCAGGGGCTTGCTAGTTAAGGGTTTCGTACGTGTTAATTGGGCACCATTGAGTAATGCCTTGAGGATCTTCTTATTCAATTATTAATTTGTATTTTCATCAATAATAAAGTTTCTTAAACTCTTGTTAGAACTCTGTTTTCTATGCAATTGTTGTTGCTATTGAAGAAACCATATGGATTTTCAATGTGTGTCATCTGTATTTTTTTTCTTTTTGCTTTTATTTAAATCATCTTTTAAAATAACATGTAAATGATAATTTCAGCACATTTCATACAATTTCAATACATAAATAGTTCGTTTTTTTCAAAAATCAATTTAACTTAATATTATACTTATAATTATGTAGGTTGGAAGTGTGCGTTTTAGATATTTTTTGTACCCTAGATCCTAGGCAGGCAGTCTTCTCATTTCCAAATTTGTGTACTGCAGCAGCTTAGATATATGGTTAGTACTGCTTTTTTGAATTGTTTCATGTATAGTAGAGATTTTCAGGTCTTTGTGAATATACTATTTTACATCTACTATTGTTCGCAGAATTTTTGATTGCTGCCTCTGGATCGTATTTATATTTGTCTTACAGGAGGTTCCTCATATTTCAATTCCATATTTCCAAATCGGAACAATAACAGTTTTGTAAATTAGTAGTTTGTTATCAATTGACAGACTGAAATTTTTGCCAGAGAGCCAATATTGATCTGTAAATCTTCGTTGAGCTTCATTATTATTCTGTATTATGTGCTGCTTCCAAGTCAGCTTTTGATCTAATAACATGCTCAGGTATTTGGCTTTTTTGTAGCTTGGTATATCAATGCTTACAATTTTCAGTTTCTGTTTTTAAAATTTCCTGTTGGTGAAAATAACTTGGACAGTTTTTTCGCCGTTTGACTTAATCCCCCAGGTGTCAGACTAATGCGTCACTTTGTTCAGTTGATTTTGAAGGTTTGCAGTTGCTTTTGTGATGTCATGGTTTGTTGATAAAAGTCCAGTCAACAAATGTTGCAGTTAATATTTCTCCACTTTTTGGCTTAAAAATGTCTGCAGTTTATTGTAGATACAGAATCGGGCCTAATACGCTCCCTTGTGGGACACCGACTTGTATTTTTATCATGTAGAATGTGGTGTTTCAATATTGCACAAAGAAGTATCTATATTTGAAGTAGCTCTTCAGTAGTAAATAAAAATCTGCAGGCAATATTCTTGATAGTTTGTAAACCAATCCTTTGTG